GCTCCAACACTGCCCGATAAACCCCGATCACCCTGTGCTCCAACACTACCCGATAAACCCCGATCACCCTGTGCTCCAACACTACCCAATAAACCCCAATCACCCTGAGCCTGAGCACTAACCAATCCCCGATCACTCCAAATCCCGATGCTGCACAAGAAATTGTTTCCAAAGCTCCTCCCAAACAGTGTCAGTTTGGCCTGTCTGATCTTCACAGTGGCCTGATTGCTTACCTCCAGCTCCTTCTACTATTCCTCTGACCACTGCCTGCACACCATTTGGCTTCATCAATCTCTCGGACAGCAGCTGCCCACAGCAGTGTCGCAGCCATGAAGGGGTTTGTGAGAATTTTTGTGTTTTTCCAACACACGCAGGCGCCATCTGCAAGCACACATGAAGATCAACAGTATGTTAAAAACACACAAGCCTTCCATGACCTCCAGCCAAACATCTCTCTCCTACAGAGAAGTGTTGTTATGACAGAGACAAACAGCCAAATCAAATCAGCCTCACTGTATTTGCAACACAGTAAAATTAAAATATTCAATGACCCTCAAAAGTGATCCAAACTATTCTTAACCAGACTTAGTGAACAACCGATACCAAACACCAAGTAATAGCTTAAGCAGAAGAGTTAACAATTTATGAATAATGCAATAGTTTTAGCAGAGCAAAGATAAACAACAAGGGAATCTAATAAATGTCTATGATTTAAACCCAATCTTCTTCAATTCAAACTCCCAATCATATAGAGAAGCAAACAAATGCAATTAAGGGACAAGTGAAAAGAAAAGGGAGATGTAACTAGCCAGTTCTTTTAATCAGGCTCCATAATCCATAACATCGCAGGTACAGAGGATAATATCTCGCTTGATTTCTGAATATATCAACGCTCTGGGAAAAAAGTCATTTAAATCAATGATTCTATTCTCTGAACTTTCAATCAGTTGTTAATGAGGAGATAACCAGGGAGCAATCAAAGCTCCATCTTATACTTTCTCAAGTACAATCCTTCTGACTCACACACAATTAAAAAACCAGTTCAACTTTTGGTTCCTCTTTGTTCATCTGATTGTCTCCCTGAGGCGCCAGTTAATATTCAAACATCTCCCAGCTTTCTGGGTGCAATTCATCTTTGGAACTGAAACATCTGAAGTGTTCTCTGGACGAGAATCAACCTGCAGTTAACTTCCAGGCCTGGTCTCAAACAAAAATCAGGTTGCTCTTTTTTTTTCTAAAACAAAAAGCAAGCTACAGCTCATAGTCCGAAAGTCACACTTAGCTCTCAGTTCACAGCTCCAAACCACACAAAAATAAACAATACCTCAGCAAGGGTTCTAATGCTATGAACGGCTTCTCACTTTTTGCAGCAATAAGCCTTTCCCATGCAACCGACTCAGCAGACTATCCCAACCTTCCCCTAACCGTAACTCCATCCCCTTTCTTTCCTAAGCTTACCCATCTCCATATCCTTCTTATAACATTCTGTCAGCCTCCACATTGCCCACATCCACTCAAACCCTCACCATTACAACATGACTAAATGTGAAGTCA